TGGCAGCTCCCACCTTGCCACACCGGCCACCAGGTCAACCTCACCACTTGGTCAGGCCTACCCAGCTGCCCTTCCCAGCTCTCCTCCCCTTCTCAGCCCCAGCCTTGGTCACCAGCACCTCTGCTAATGATTCCCAGCCTGGCAACACCATGGAGTTGTCCCTCTCTAGACCTGGCACTGTCTGGGCTTCAGCTCCCTCACGGTCACTGTGCCCACACCTGGGCCCCACGTCACCCCACTCTCCCCAGCTCCCCAGGGTCCCTCCACCTCCGCCTCCGCCAGCCTGAGTTTTCCCGGCCTCACCCACCGATGCATGTCTTTCCATCCGTATGGAGCACAAACTTGACATGGCAGCCACACCGGGGACCCTGGTCCGTGTCATCACATGTGTGCTGGCAGCCACCATTACCATAGTTGCAGGTCACTGTGCACAGAGAAGGCGGGAGGCCCGTCAGCTTGGTTCTGCACACACGGGTACCGGCCCTCCTTTCCAGCTTCCTCACCCATACTCCCTCTCCCTGTAGCCTGTCCTGCTGCTGCGGCCCCGACCCTTCCTCTTCATTCCCTCTTCCCACCATCCTCCCAGTGATCTCACGTTTACAGTCCCGCTGGTTCTTGGTGAGCTCGAAGCCGGGGCGACATTCACAGGCAATGCCCCCCTTGGGCGTCTCCCGGCAAATGTGGGCACAGCCATGGTTCTTGTTCATGCAGTTCATTCCTTCTAAAAGGGCAGAGGAGGTGGCGTGAATGCTCTGCACCCCAGGATGCAAGGAAGAGGGGTTAGAAGAAGCAACTGGAAGCCTAGACAACGGGGAATTCCACCGAGGCTGCCACACAGACGGGCCGAGTGCCCCTCACAGGCCTCCTGTCCTGCCCACAGAGCAGGTGCCCATGAGCAGAGGTCAGGGCCAGCCGGCCCAAGGAGAGCCTGTGTGACTACTCTCTCCTTCCGACGACCAGTGTCGATAGCTGCCTGGCACCGTGCCAGGGACCGGGCAGACTTAGGAAAGACCCAGAAAAACCTAAGACATGATCTCTTCCCCCAAAGAGCTTTCAATCAAATTGGGACGCAGATAAATAACAGATTTATAACGTGGGTGGACAGTCACTGGTACAGATAATTACAGTGCAATTTTATTCAGCCAACGTTTCTTTTCCTTTTCTTGCCATAGACATATGCTAGACAGGAGCGAGACAGACAGAAGGAGAGAGAAATCCCCCCCAATGAGGTGTGGCCTCGCTGCAATCCCTTCTTCATTCCTCCTCACTGCCAGGATTTTGGACATGCACATACAGGTACCTAGCTTATTTTTCAAGCTGCCAGAGCTGGGATTTGAACCGTGATCAGCCATGTGGGATCAGGCTCCCTTTAACTACTAGGCTGCAGGGTCAGCTCTCAACAAACTCTCAAAGCTTTCGCTCCCACAAGCATATAGGACAGTCTGTAAGGTGCTGGGGATACAACGATGAATCCGACATCGTCCCTCGCCCTCGGGGATGGCAAAGTCGGGTGGAGGTGGGGAAGATGAGTCGCAGAAGCAAACTGTACTTCATTACTCCTGCCTGGCTCTCCCAGTCCACCCAAGGAAGGCGGCCTTGGGGAGGCTCGCGGCCACTTACGGTTAGGAACAGACCCACCACAGATCCGGGCGCAGTGGACACCCGCTCGTACCCTATCTCCTACTGCCCCAGCCCAGGTTAATTCCCCTACACTGTGCTCTAAACAGACTGTCCGTCCATGGAGCCCTGAGGGTGTGGCTGAGTTGAATGACAAAAGGAGGCGCTCGCAGAGTTGAGAATGGAGGAGAGACAGAGGGTGCTGAGAGAAGGCTGGGAAGAGAAGCCTGGGAGGGCAGGGCTGACCTTCCGGCCGCTGGATGCAGGTGTGCTGGTTGTCGCTGAGAAAGAAGCCTTCACGGCAGTGGCACTCGTAGCTGCCCATCATGTTGACACAGCTCTGCTGACAGCCGCCATTGCCCTCGGCACACTCGTCCACGTCTGTGCAAGATGGGAGACGGTGGGGCCACGAGTGCAGGCCGGGGCCCAGGTGTGCCCAGGGCTGCAGCTCCAAGCACGGAGAGCCGGGGCTGAGAATCCACCGCCATCTCCCCACCCAGCCCTAGGCGGGCACTCCCATCTCGTCAGCTAGTATTCCTCGGAGTGTGAACAGGCCACCCAAGAGGGCACGCGGGGAGGGGACATGCAAATCTGTTCGCCCTGGTGATCATTTGCCTCCTTCTCCCTCACCTGTGGAAACTGGGCCTGCACGCTGATCTCAGCCAAAAGGCTAAAAGCAATTAGGAAATTGGGTCTGAAAGCAGAGGAGGGTGGAAAAGGAGCCAGAGCGAGAGGACGGGTGAGGAAGACGAGGATGGCGACGGGTCAGATTGGTCTGGGCGGTGACCAGCGCGGGGCTGGCGGTGAGGGGCATCCAGTGAAGCGGGGGACCTGGAAGTGGCTCTGCGTTCAGGGGGAGCTATGGCCAGAGCGCTGAGGGCGAGGGGCAGCGTGGGGAAAGGCAGCTGGGCCTCAACTCCTTGTGGGGCAGGGACCATTTCTGTGAACAGGCCACAGCCCCATCCTTCTCCCCCACCCCCAATTCCTGGGCTTGCTGCCATATTCCGTAGCCTTTCTCCTATTTTGGTTTAACAAAACAAAGTCTGGCAGCTTGGCGGGGAGGGATGGGGGAGAGCTTCCAGGTCACACCCTAGATGGGGGAGGGGGAACAGTAGGCTCTCACCTCAAAGTCACCACCTTCAGGTCCCAGAGCCAAACTCGTCCTGGGGTTCCCACACTGGGCCCTGGACTCCATCTCCATGCTAGCTCCTGCCCTCCCATGTCCACGGCCTTCTCAGCGTGCCCTGGTCCAGGAGGCAGCAGGGACTCTGGCCAACTGGGGCAGCTAGAATCTGGACTTCTGACTCCCAGCTGCCCCTTCCTTCTCATCTTTGCTGAAGCCCTGAAACCCTCCCTTCCCCTTCTGGACAAGGGCAGAGGGGTCTGGATCTGCCTGGCTCTTGCCTGTGAGATGCACCTGCTGGTGACGCTAAGGAGGTGTATTCTCTGCTTCCTTCCTGTCTCAGCTTCATCTCTTCCTACAGCCTGGACTGCCCATCCGCCCTCCTGCCCCCGCTCCATCCACATTCCATCCGCTGCTCCTTTCGTTCCTGTCTCGGTTTCATCTCTTCCTACAGCCTGGACTGTCCATCCGCCCTCCTGCCCCTGCTCCATCCACATTCCATCCGCTGCTCCTTTCTATTCCACCCGCGTGGCTTTGTTACACTAGCCAAGCTCCTTCCCAGTCCTCAGTGAGGAAACTGAGGCTGAGGGCATGGACAACGTTCTCAAGGTTCCGCGAAGAACCGAAGGTGGGGTTGAGACTGCAAGCTAATCCTAGACAGACCCTTGCTCTTCTGACTCTTCATACCTACTAAGCCTCTGGTTGGTTCTCCCCAAAACACCTGGAGGGACACGAGGCTTGATGAGACGCAGGGGCCTTAGAGGGGTGGGAGACAGCTGGAGAACTCAGTTCACGCCCACAGCCCTGTAGGCAGCTCGCTGTCCGTCTGAGCATCAGCGCTGCCCTTCCCAGGAGTTCCAAGAGTCCCTCAGGGGTGACTGGGCAGATGAGCTGGGCTTGGCAGGCCACGCCCTGGTAGCTAAAGGAGGACAGGCAGCCAGGCTGGAGGAAAGGGCCTGGTAGGGATTGGGGTAGCAGTGGAAACGGAACACTCCCACAGATGGGACGTGACCGGGGTTAGAGACGGCTCTGCAGCAAGGAGGCTTCTGCAGGCCAACGGAACCTCAGATCGCCCAAGCGAGAGGGAGGGACCAGTAGGCCTGCTTTTCTGGGCATCGTTCCTTTTGCTCCTCTCCTTTACCTGGTCCCCTGTGCTTCCAGGGCCCCTATTTCTGTTTTGGAATCAGAAGGGGTTTGGGAGAGGAACCCTGGGTTCAAATCTCAAATCTTTTTCTGCCATTGGCTTTGGGTTTTATATTTCAGGAAGAGTCTGACTTGGTTCCAGTAATTTTCCAAAATGTCAGAGACCAGAGTTGAGTTCAGAGTCCTGGAGACTCTCGTCTCTTGGATTCTGGTCCGCAGACAAAGGAGATCAGGGCAGAATGAGGCCTCTCAGAAGTGAGGAGAGGGCAGGACTACTGGCTATTGTAGGAATCGCTGGGAGAAAAGCAACCCTTGCAGGTCAGAGGTTCTCCACACACGGAGAAGCATCCTGTCACCAACAACCTCCTTCCCTTTTACTGAGCTCTTCCTCCGTGCTAAGGAGGGTACAATGCTCTTTATACGTCTTCTCTCACTGCGATCTACCCAGCAGCCTTTCCGCGGGATGTTTCCATCCCTATTTTAGCGATGAAGAAGCTGCGATTCCTAGAGATGAACTGATCTGCGCAGGGACCATGGCTACTGAGCGACAGCACTAGGATCCGTGTAGAACCCAACCGTCTTCCCACCATCTCATCTCCTGGCCCTGGGACCACCTTTTAGAAGCATGTCCTCCATTTTTCATCTAGCAGCAGGATTCGTTCTTTCTTGGTGGCCAGTCTCAAAGAGGAAGCCTGCCCTTTGTTCCCACAGTTCTCCTGTGACCACTCTCCACTCCTCGCCTGGGGAGGGGAAATGCTGCCCACACCTCCCTCCCCAGCAGACACCCTGCCATCACGCCACACCCCTGGCTCACCCAGACAGTTGTGTCCGTCATGTGCCAGGTGGAATCCGTCATAGCAGGTGCATCGGTAGTTGCCAGGGATATTGACACAGTCGTGCACACAGCCTGCGTTATCTTCTCGCTCACACTCGTCCACGTCTGTGGGTACAGATACACGAGATCACTGAGCCCACGAGTGTGCTCCTCGCTGTCACCTCTTGGCTCAGTATTCTCGTTGCCTTTTTTAAAAAACTAAAACCTTCTTGCCTCAGGTGGTAAGGTGGTTAAGGCGCTGGACTCTCACATGGCTAACAGCTGTTCAAGTCCCAGACCTGGTGGTTTACTTCTTTACTTTCCCTTTCTCTCTCCAACTCTGTCTCTCTCAGGTCAGAGTTATTATTAAAAAATAATAACAACAAATAAAATTAAATAAATGATATATATATATTTTTAAAAACCTTCTTGACTAGCCACGGTGTTGCAAGCAGCAGGGCACTGCTGTACAAAGCTGAGGCTGCATGGGAGGCCCGGGTTCGGTTCCTAGACTGACAGCCAAGCACGGTGGCACATGTCTATGATCCCAGCCAACCGTGAGGCTAAGGAAGGCAGATTGCAATGTGACAAGAACACTACTCTCTACCTATACCCTGTCTAAAGTACCTCTCTCTGGGCCAGCAGGTGGCGTGGTAGTTAAGGTGCTGGACTCCCACATGGCCAATTGTAGTCTGTGTCCCAGACCTGGTGGCTTGCTTTCTCACCTCTCCCTCTCCTTCTCTGGCCATTTCTGGATCTCCCCGGTGAGTGCATGTGTCCTATACCAAATTAAATAATAATAATACATAAAAATACATCATTCTTTTTTTAAAAAAAATAACTCTCACTGGGACCAGCAGTTAGTGTAATGGCTATGTTGCTGAACTCCCATGTAGCCGACCACGGTTCAAGTCCTGGACCCGGTGGCTTAAACTCACATCGGGCGCGACTTTGATGAAAAGAGCAAAATGCAAAATGGTTTATAGGCTGTGAATGTTAACTGTGCAAACGCACACACAGACAAGGTTTTGTTTTTAATGAGTGAGAGATTTTTTTTTTAGAGGTTTTTGTTATAGAGCACGTGCCCTCACCAGAAAGACAGAGAGAGACAGAGAGACAGGAAGTGAGAAATGACCCCCAGGGGGGATGACCACACCGCAATCCCTTCTCCATTCTCCTCTCGGGATCTTGGGCACACACACACACACGTGCCCGGCGTGAGTTTAAGCCACCAGGACTCGAACCGCAGTCAACTACATGGGAGTCCAACGTCATAGCCATTACACCAACTGCTGGTCCTAAGTCTCTCTAATTACCACTTTATATTGTGGAATATTCCATTGTGTTGCTATATCATAATTAGTCATCCTATTTCTCTATTGTTAGACACTTAGATTTTTTTCACTTATTTTACTTTCACAAAAAATGCATCGAAGAATATCTTTACCTATTATTTCTTTGAATAAATCCCCAAGAGTAAAATTCCTGGCCCAAAGGGTATTCCTGCTCGGTATTAAGATTCCTGCTCGGTATTACAAAATTACTTTTCATTGTATAATGTCACCAGGTATTAATAAGTGTACTTGTTCACCAAAGTCTTGCCAAGTCACTGAAGGTTATAAATTTAAAATATTATCTTGGGGACCAGCAGGTGGCATGGTCCACACAGCTGATAATGGTTCGAATCCCGAACCTGGTGGCTTGCTTTCTCACTTTTCCTCTCTCTCTCTTTCTGTCTCTCTCTGGTCAAATTAAAATAAATGAGTGAATAAATAATTCTTTTTTTTTTTTTTGAGAGGCTTTTTTTTTGCTATAGGACGCAGAGAGAGACAGAGAGACAGAAAATGAGAAATCACCCCCCAGGGGGGATGGCCACGCCGCAATCCCTTCTCCTCCCATTCTCCTCTCGGGATTTTGGGCACGCACGCACACACTCCCAGCGTGAGTTTAAGCCACCGGGTCTAGGATTTGAACTGCGGTCGGCTACTTGGGAGTCCAGCGACATAGCCATTATGCTAACTGCTGGTCCCAGTAGATAATTATTTTTAAAAAATAAAATTAAATACTATCTCAAGGCTACCTGAACATGCATTACCTTAATTTTGAGGGGAGAACGTGTTTGTTTCTGGTATGAATTTCCCCTGGGTACACTCTTCCTCCCCCACCCAGCAAAAGGTCTAAAGAGGGAAGTTCCAACACCAGGAAACCTCAGGCCTGAGTCCCATGGGTCTGATGCTCCACTCCAGCTGGGTCAGGTCTGAACTGTTCTTACCTAGCCTGCGCGGTACCTCTGTGCAAATGGAAAATGGCGCCCTCTCTGGGAAGATGCAGCTACCTGCCCCGCCCACCTCGGCCGGCAGAGATTCCAGGCCTTTGTAGCATGCTCGGTGTGGCCAGCTGAGGGCAGTGGCCCTGGCTTCCCTCTCCCACAGGTCCCGCTTCTTGGGGTACCGTCCCAGCCTCACCTTTGCAGTGTTTTCCGTCTCCCGTGTAGCCGGACTTGCAGATGCACTTGTATGACCGCGGGGTGTTCTGGCAGATGGCATCAATGTGGCAGCTGTCAGTCCCCTCCACACACTCATCCACATCTGGAGGGGCAGAGGACACACACGAGACACTCTGTGGGTGCCTCTCACGGGACGTCTTGAAGGTGGGTTCCCCAAGGGCCAAATCCCCTCTTCTGTACAATGGAAGTGGCAGCCCCTCCAGAAGCAGGTGCTCCCGTATCCCCCCAATTCCACAGTGGGCAGACTGCCATCTGAGGAATTCGGAAAGAACCCCACCGCCCCAACGATACTTAGTCCACAATGACAGCTAAAAGCCCCTCATTTAAATCACTCTGCATTGGTTAAAAAACAAACCAAAAAAACACTTAGACTGGGTAGCACACTTACCTTGATGAGAAATAATCCATCTAGTCTGAATTCGTTTACCTTTCATGGGAGCAGGCTTAGGGAGGGGAGGAGAAAGGCATGGGAACAGTGGCCTTAGGAAGGTGTGAGGCCTAGTGGTCACCAGTGATCCAGGGGGAAGAAGGGGAGTCAGGGCATCTGAGGGGTCCTCATCTGCCTCAGACCCTGCTCCCACCTGCCCGCTATGGCGCCAAGAAGCAGCTTTAAAGGAAAGAAGTTCCATCTCAGATTTTCCTCGGCCCCTGTGCTGCCAACGGAGGGACCAGGAGCTGCCGGGGGTGGGGCTCTCCAGCTGACCAGGCCGGCAGGCCCACCCATGCGGTCACCTTAGCTCTCCCGCTCTACCCCTACGTGCTCCTCTCTGCCCAGCCCGCGTTGCAACGTATAGGTGCTATCCACAGAGCTGTTTTTATTTTCATTTTTTGAGAGATTTTTGCTATAGGGTGCATGCACTCACCAGAAAGACAGAGAAGCAAAAAGTGAGAAATCACCCCCCCTGTGGGCGGGGGCTGGAATGGCCACTCAATAGACTCTTCATTCTGCTTGTGGGATTTGGAGCAGGCATGCACAGACACCTAGTGTGAATTTCAGGCCACCGGGTCCAGGACTCAAACCACAGTTGACCACATGGAGTCCAATACCTTAACTATGACGCCACCTGGTGGTCCCCACAGAGCTGTTTTAAAGGGAGGAGGCTGCTCAAAATTTAGCAAGAAAGAGGATGGTTAAGAAAGGACATAGAGGTGCCAGCAGATGGCGAAATTGTTATGTCATTGGACTGCCATGTAGTCGACCGTGGTTCCAGACACTGCAGCTTAAAACTCATGATGGAGGAGGAGGAGGAGGAGGAGGAGGAAGAGGAGGAGGCTGCAGCAGGTAGCATGGTGATACGGCACTGGACTCCCATAAGGCCGACCGTGGTTCGAGTCCTGGACCTGGCAGCTTGCTTTCTTACTTTCCTTTCTTGCTCTGTCCCTCTCTGGTCAAATAAAATAAATAAATACATAAACAAATAAAGCTAAGTAAAATAACTTAACAACAATAACAAGAAAAAACCTCACGCTGGGCATATGTGCATGTGTGTCCAAGATCCCAAGAAGAGAATGGAGGAGAAGGGATTGTGGTGTGGCCATCCCCCCGGGGGATGATTTCTCACTTTCTATCTCTCTGTCTCTCCAGCGAGTGCATGTACCCTATAGCAAAAAAACTCTCTAAAAAAGAAAAGACATAGGAAAGAGTCTTTGGGCAAAAGTTTCCAACTTCTGGAACAATACTATGGTGTCGATAGAGCAGAACTAAAATGGGGGGAAATGTCTGGTTCAGTTGAAAATGCTCTGCTGAATGTGTTCGTGAGTGCAAGGTGCTACATCAGGGGCTGTGGCGGCCCCCGAGTGATCCAGCCCAGCTACAGGGAGAGACGAGTCATGTGAAGCGGGATGTGGGAGTGCATGAAGGCACTGGAGAAGTGAGGGGCTCACCCGTGGCTGTGTGACATAGTCGACGCCCCCAGGACATGCCCACAACCCATCCTGGTCCGCTGGTCATGCGTTTTTCTAAAGCTCTCCAGGTGACTCTAATGGACAGCCAAGGCTGCGAACCCGTGTTTCCGGGAAGATCAGGGGAAGAAGCGATTACTCTGAGCTGTGAACTGAGAGACCCAAGGCAGTATATAAGTAGCAGCCTGCAAGAGAAGGCGTTGGCATTGAAACCGAGACAGTCTGACTTCCAAGTACCGTCCGCAGGCTACAGAGCTGCCTGAGTTTCGCTAAATGAAGATCGGCGGACCTCACTGCAGACCGTGACTCCAACTCGAGATGCACGGTAAACCATTCTCTCCCATTTACAGGCATCCATGGGTCCTAGCAGGAAAGCTGTCCGCTCCTGCTTTCATCCTTCCAGAAGAACCTAGCGGGGAGGTCTGGAGTTTCCTGGGGCTAAGAAGAGAACTGCGCTCTGGAAGAATGTTCCTAGACAGTCTGCCCCAAACCTTCCAGGCTTCTGCAGGCCAGGCATTCCACCCTTCACTGCCTCCGCTCCTCTGTGGACATTCCACGCCAAACAACTCACGCGCTGAGGCCTCTGTCCACGTTACTCCCCACCTCACCCAAGTTCTTCGATCATGGAGTCCACCAGTCTGCCCATGCTGGGAAGTCATCCCAAAGGAGAAGACTGGAGAGGAGGGAGCATGGAAGACTAGCTTTCCAACCTTCTTTTTTTATCTTTTCAATAGGGTGACAGGGGAGCAAGGAGAACAGGGACCTTGTAGATGGTATGGAGCTGTGCGGAGACTCGGCTGTCCAGTTGGTGGAGACAGAAGGCCACAAAGAAATGTCCTATCACCACGATATCGTAAGTGCGGCAGCCAGTGGAGCCCACGGGCACATCCAGTTTGACCACTCTCCAGGGAGGCTTTTCTTGTTTTCTATCTCCTCCTCTTTCAAATGGGAATGATACTCCCTCACGTGGCTGTGAGCAGGTGATGAGGTCATCTGTGTAAAAGGCCTAATAAAATGTCTGGTAAATAGCAGGTTCCCGATAGGAAGCTTGAGATGAGGAGTATTAAACCATGGTTCAGACAACAGGCTGCAGGCCACGGCTGCTCCCTGGGCCAGCCACTAGCCACAGGTGGCTATTAAAGTTTCATTGACAATTCAGTTCCTCGGGTGCACAAGATCGCCGAATGCTCAAGAGCCACAGGTGGCTAGCGGCTACCCCAGGGCCCAGCACGGGCACAGAACATCTCCAAGCCCGACAGGCCTGCTGCTCAGGGCCACCTCGGAGCTCTCAACATGGGGCACCCTTAGTCTGGAGATTCGAGACTCATCTGGTAGCCCCTTCTCTGGGGCCCGCGGAGGTACTGCTCGTCTCTAGTTTGGAAGGCCTCATGAAGGCCTGCACCAGGCTCTCTGGGCTCCCATTCAGGCTCAGCGGTACAGATCACAGCAAACCCAGGCCTCCCGGCAGACCCTGTGACCCCTCCCGCTGCCCTGCCCTGCCCTCACCTCCCTGCTCTCAGTGCTTATCCCTGTCCAGCACTCTCTGCTCAGGAAGATTTATCTTCTCTCCATTCCCCTACCACACCACTGCAACCCTTCCCACACGTCCGCACACACTTCACTCTTCAGGCTGGAGATGCATTCCCTCTCTCTTCTCCCGCAGCCATGCTGGGCTCAGCTTTCCAAATCTCACTCAAAACGGCCTTCCCGGGGCTGGCAAGTGGCGTGGTGGTTAGGAGCACTAGACTCCCATATGGCCAACCTGTGGTTCACGTCCTGGACCTGGCATCTTGATTTCTCTCTCTCTCTGTCACTCTCACTCTGTCCATCTCTGGTCAAATTAAAAATAAATAAAGTGAAATAAAATAGTTATTTAAAAAAACAAACGAAAAACCAGTCTTCCCAAATCTCACTCAAAGCGTTCTTCCCAAAAGCTCTTGCGGGTAAACCCTGTTCCTGGTGACCCCTGGCCCTGAGGGACGCAGTCTGCCCCAGCTCATCTGCAGCTATTGCTCTGTTAATACTTTAAAGCCATCTCAGGAAGCGTGTCCAGCTGTCCTCGCTCGGCCGGGCAATGGCTGAGGACACCTCAACAGTTCAGCTGGGATCTTTCCAAAGCAGAACAGGCCTGGGGCAGAAGTGGGGACTAGGGCCCCAAATGATGTCCAGCATGTCCTCCATTGGCTAGCCCATTCCAGAGCTCCCTCCCCCCACACCTGCCACCGCGGCCCCTGCCCCCTGGGCACCGCCTCACTTAGTGTGTTCGGTCCCAGCACACACAGGTGGTTACTAGCCGGCAGGTTAGCTGAAGCTGCTGCACATGGACTGGCTTAGCTGAGAGGGTTTCAACCCTGGCTGCACGCTGGAATTGCCTGGGGGCCATTTGAAAAAACGTGATTGTCCAGGCAGTCCCTGGGCCAGTTCAATCAGGATCTCCAGGGTGAGGCTGGGGCTGCTCACTCCCTTTCCCAACTCAGGAAATGTGAATAAACTCTTTCTCCAAGCCGGGAAGAGAGCATGGGGCAGCTACATGACAGAGTGGTTAAGGGGAGGCGGCCTGGAGTGCCCTCGTGTCAGTTCAAACCCCATCTGTACCAGACCTGCATCTCAACCTGCCCAGCCCCTGTAAGTGTGAAAATAACAAGCACAGCACTCTAATCCTCAAGCACTGGGGGCCACAGTGCAGGCTTCCAGCAGCTGCTCAGTAAAGGATTGCTAGTATTCCTCTCCCTCCCCCTTAGCAGAGCCCGTTTCAGGCCTGGTTTGGGGTGATGAGCAGCGGGGTGACATGTGATGGCATGGGGACTTGGGGGCGACACAGTCCTGAAGGTGCCTGCTCTACCCATGCTGGGCACTGCCCTGAAGGCCAGAAGCTGCGTCCAGCAACCCCTAGTGAAGGCGGTGGAGACCACTCCTGCGCCCCTCCGCACACCGAGGCCCTGGACCAGAAGCTGCGTCCAGCAACCCCTAGTGAAGGCGGTGGAGACCACTCCTGCGCCCCTCCACACACCGAGGCCCTGGACTGGAGCCAAGTTGAAGCAGGAGAGCATGGTGGCTGCAGACATTCGCAGAGGAGTGAGACCTCCCTGCCTTCCCCTTTCTGGGCATGAGGGCACAGCAGCATTCCCAGGATTGTCCGCCAATCTCCCTGACTTTGCCTAATGCCTAGCAGAGTGCTCC